GCGGTTGTTTCGGGGTGCTTCTCGCGGGGTTTCGAATGCTTGCGATTCCTGGAAAGAGGGGACTTCAACCCCAGCGATACCAAGGTGTAACATGTCTTGTGCATCATCAAGAGGGGAGGGGGCGGTGCCCACCGCTTAAATTTTGATTTTTGACGACTTTGTTAAATTAATAATTTGATATAAGATACATGTCCATTCTCTTCTTCTCCTTTTTCTTCTTCTTCATCATCTTTTCTTCTTCTTCATCATCTTTTCTTCTTCTTCTTCTTCTTCTTCTTCTTCTTCATCTTTTCTTCTTCTTCTTCATCTTTTCTTCTTCTTCTTCTTCTTCTTCTTCTTCTTCTTCTTCTTCTTCTTAGTAGGCAATAGGCCTGTTCCGTTCCTTGGATTTCGTGGAACATTCGTGCTATCGTCGCCTCGGTCTCCCGGGATGTCTTCTTCCCACAGGTCTAGTATCTCTCAAGAGCCTTAACAATACTGTCTTCATTCATTCTATCAATGTGTTGATTCCATTCTTTCTTTCGTGATATTATCCTTTCCGAAACAGGACTAATTCCACATGTTCTTCTAATGTTTTCATTTCTTTCTTTATCCAGGTACGTTTTATTTAAAACTCTCCTCAACAAACGCATTTATGCCACTTCTTGTTGACGTTGCAAGCTTTTTGTTTCACCTCGTGTCTCTGCTGCATATGCTAAAATTGATTTCACTACTGATTTATATATTCTTACTTTCGAGTCTTGTCTCAAATATTTGTTGTACCACACTGAGTAATTTAAGCAGCCGGAAATTCGGTTTCCTTTCATGGCTTGTTGTTTTACCTCCTTATTCATCTGTCCTGAGCTTGGGATCACTATCCCCAAGTATTTTGTTTCTAACACTTGCTCTATTGGTTTCTCATTGACCTCACATCGAATAGGATCTTTCGCTATTGTCATACTTTTAGTTTTTGGATGGAGATCGTCAAATTATAGTTTCTACAGATTTTATTAAATTCATGGAGAAGCCGTTGTAGGTCATCTTCATTTTCAGCTGCCAATACTGCATTGTCTCCATAACAAATTATGTTAATGTCATATTTCCCAGTAGGTATCCTTTTTTGTTTCAAGCTGATTGATTATTTTATTCATTACTAGATTAGATAGTAAAGGACTCAAGGAGTCACCCTGTCTGATCCCTTTCGATGTAGTGATAGGAGAGGATAATATTCTATTAATCCTTGTGGTACATTTCCTTTCGCAATAGTCTGATAACATCTATTAGACGTGTATTAACGAATGCTTTACTTAGATCTATAAAGCATAAAAATGCGGGGTTATTGGATTCTAGTGGCTTTTCTATCACGTGTCTAACTATGCATATTTTGCATCGTTGTAGGATCTCCCTCTCCTGAATCCCTGTTGGTGAGCTTCCCACTCGATGTTGTACAGTTTGTTCGCTAAATGTCTTCGCTAAATAACTAATTTGAGTGTGGAACTTAGGAGATTCATACCTCTGTAATTTTCGGGGTTAAGATCGTCTCCCTTGAATAACGGTATAACGGTGTTTGTCTTCCAATCCTTGGGTTCCTTACGATGGTGCAAGATCTTCTTCATTTATTTAGTTATTTCTTCAGTTAATGTTCTCCACCATTCTTTAGGAGCTCATTGTATACCCCATCCTCCCCAGGTGAATTATCACTTTTCAATTTCTTAATTTACTCCTTCACCTGTTCTTCTGATACGGTGCATTTTATATTCACGTTTCCTGTTTCTGCAAGGTCTATTACATTTCCAATATCATCACTGAATAACTCTTTAAAATACTCCACCCTTATTTGGATAGGTATTGTGTTTGTTCTTATATATTCATTAGTTTCTGTTCTCGAGTTTCTAATGAACCTCCACATTTGCTTCTGAAGTCCATAAAAGTCATGATCTAATCTTGCCGAGAAAAAGGCCCAATATCTTCTCTTTATTTCTAGAACTTTTGAGTATGTTTCGTTCCTAATGGTTTTGTGTTCTTGATTTAATTGTGTAGACCCATGTTGCATATAGGCAACTCTCTTCCAGTATGCTGCTTCCTTTACTTCTTTAGTGAACCACGGTGTCCTTTTGTTTTATATTTTTCCCGTATTAACCTTTATCTTCTCTGCAGCTTCTTCTGCTGCCGCCGGAACATTAGTTCTTATGAGGATTTTACGTCATCAATGTTCTGGATCGTATTATTAGTTATTTTCTCATATACTCTCTTGATATAAAACATATTATAATATGGGCATTGATTTAATCTAAAAGGAAATGTGGTTTAATTACTGGCTCTACAAGTAAAAAATTAACGATTTTCTCGCATAAAGAGTTGTATTTAATACAAAAAACGATTACATTTTTAAATAAAAACGAATTATGTTCGTAACAGTGATGTATTGAAATTAATTCTACTACAACTTAAAATGCTACAAATGTTTCCAAAATTTATTCTGATTCTTCAGTTTTTAAGTGAATCATCCTGATATTTTTATCTACAACAAATATATTGTAATAACTCAAAGTATAGCAAATAAGTGCGATAAATGGCAATATCTATTCAATAAAAATATCATAAACAATATTAATGATTCAGCTCATTCAATGATATACTATGGTGAATGAACCTGTTTCCACGTATAGCAGAGAAGTGCAAATTCTCCATGAGAAAAAGCTAGAAGAAAACTAAGTATATCATGCTAGTGGAAATTAATGATTAGCACAGAGCACAGAGCAAAATAAAGTGTGAAGAAGGAGCGAATATGTGCATATTAAGTCACAAACACTTGAGTTATTAGCGACCTCTTTCTCAATACATTTATAAACACCTCACAAATACATTTTCCTTACCTTGCATTGTTAGTTTTAATTAGTGCAGTAAATAATTACAGGTTGAGCTCAGTTCCTTATTGCATTGACAGCAGAATTGTACTCTAAATACTATGACCAAAAACATTATTTTTCGCTATACAGGTTGATTTATTATTCATTTGCAGATTCATTGCAGATTATTCTAGCACTAGCCTGAACAAAAGTCAAACCAAAGGAATATTGTAAGTTTAAAAATCGGTCAATAGGTAGCGCCGGGCAACGCGTTTGCTACCTCCCCTGGCAGGCTGCTGGGTGGCGGCCGTCTATGACGCCATTTGACGAACCTATCTTGTCATTTGAGCGCTGATTGGCGGCGATTTCTGTCAGTAAGTTCTGTAACAATACCGCGTTTAGGACACAGATACGAGTGTCCACAGCAAATGAAAACCGTTCTCCGGAACATGCGGGAGTATGAAAGCTGAAGATGCGTTCGATTCGAAAGCAACCCTACAGACCCACAGACATTATTTTAAACAGTGCAAGAGGAGAAATACTGATCTTAATTGGAGGGGGGCAGTGTCCCTAGCGCCTCCCGCCGCAGCCGCCACTGCGTATACCATGGTGCGTGAAATAGAAACAATTTTCTTTGAAGGGGAAAACTTCTATCCGTTATTTTCTAAAAAAAAAAAAAAAAAAAAAAAAAAAAAAAAAAAAAAAAAAAAAAAAAAAAGACCGAAGCAGGTGAAGATCCATAACAGGAGATACACCAGAACTGCTGAGAAAGTTAGAGTACAAATTATTGAGAAAGTTTTTTTGAAAATTTGTTGCAACATTTGCAAATTTATAAACAATTTTCAACTTTTCTAGATCAAAAGAGGGAGAGATTTTCGAAGTTCTAGAGCCGAAAACCGCTAATTAACAATTTTGCAATAATTTACAATTTTATAAACAATTCGAATATGCGCTTGAACGGCCGGAAAGGATCCGCAAATTGTGCCTGAGATGAACATTTTAATATGACAGTTTGACAGAGTTACAAATTGATTGCTAAATGTAGTATAATTGTTGCAAAAATGCTATATATTTTAGTGGTCTGTTGACTACTTCTGGAGGGAGAACCCCTGCTCAGAAAAATTATTTTCATTAAGGCGTACACGCATACAAAATCTCTCCTTCGGCAGGAATATATGACGATATTTCTGGCTAATACGTAAACAATGAAGACCCCGCCCCCGGGGAACAGAGTCTTGTCAGCCCCCTGGGCTTTTGCGCCAATCACATACGCACTAAAGTTATGACTGCTAGCGATTGGTCAACGCGCCCTTCCCCCGCATCGAAGGGTGTCCAACTTTGTTTGGATGGTTGGGAAGGTAGGATGTCACTCGCCACTTTTTGTGAGGGAACTTTACCACCGAGCTACCTCAAAACACTCAACGTTTTGAATGTCTTGCCACTTCTCCCTAGCTCGGGCTGCCCTCCTCGCCGCCTGCCACGTGCTCCGCGCGCCACGCTGTCTGCGCGCGCATGTGCCGCCCAGATGCGCAGCCGGGGGGGGGGGCGGCTGCTAACGAGCCACGCTGTCTGCGCGCCCAGGCCGAGGCCCAGGTGCGCCCCTGCGCCCAGAGGCGTCGCCCTTAAGATTTGGGGCAGAAGAATCGATTTGTACTGATTGATCGAATGGTAGTGATTTCGAGCGCGTCAACTATTGATTCCATCAGTCCCGTAAGTGTAGTACCTGTTAATGCTCCACTAATAAAGTAAAAAGTAGAAATAATGACTAATGCCCTTACAAAATCAGTCACATACACGTGTCAAGAATTGTTTCCCACACACTTATACATACGTTAGCGGAAATGCTCTTGTTAATGTTTTTATGATGTTCAACTACCAAACAATTCTGCAGAAACCTTTTGGCTCAAGTCTAGTGTACTATAGTTACAGATGAAGAACAGCTGTCTATAGTCTCACGGCGCGTGAGGAACGGCCAATTCTTAATCTTATGATAATAGTTTGTTCAATCTTCAAGATTGTACTTTTGCAGTTTTTACAAATTCAGAGAGTTCACCACATATCAGACTAGCACAAATTCGCCATTTTTTGCCGTACCTATACATACATTTTTGTATACTACGAATTCGATACTGGCTTGTCAACTATCGGTCGAATTCAGTCGCTGCTTGGAGAGTTCTGCCAGCCGACTGCCCTGATCAGTAGTTTTCTATGGTTTCTACGATCAACACCAAGCGAGTGCCGGAATAGTACCATTACAAACGATTCCCTAAAGCTAAAATATATGTTAGTGGCATTCTCAGGCGTCGTGGCATTCCATGGAGACGGGTTGTCTCTCCCAATAATGACCACGTTTTTTTCGCACTTTTCCTGATTACACGGGTTCTTGTCTATAGTCTTTGTAAACGTTCGTGTCCGTCTTTGCCTGTATCTTATACACGGCTATGAATTTCCCACTGATTTTTTGAATTCCTATCTCCGAATGTCAAACACTATAGATTTCAAATTTGGTCGTCGCGAACGCGCATTGGCGGCCGTTCTGCTTCGAAGTTGTCTTTATTTACATATTGATAAAAACTACCCCACCAATGCGACTACTCTATCGCGCCCTGAATACTTAATAAAACAATGTGACGTGCTGAAGATTTCAGCAAATTTAATATTTTTCCCGCATTGAGCCATGACTCCGTACCTATCACTGACATCACAATTATTCGATTCTAAGCCATGTTCCAGGAAATGAACAGCTTTATTGTAAATACCCTCAATTAAAACCTGCAGAATAACCAGAGACTTACCTTCTGCGTAGTTCCCTAATATTCTAATGCCGCGCGTCTCTCGCCGTCATTGCCGACGTCCGGCTCGAGTGTCGGGCGATAAAGTTGCGTTATGGATGCCGCCCACACTGACGCCGTCCCTCCCGCGCGTCACTGCGTCGCGTCGACCACTGGGCGCTTCGACCGTTCCCTCGCCGCAACGCCGGGTCGCGCGTCCATTACGCCGCGTCACGCCGGTGCTCGCGCCGGACCGCTGCCGACGCGTCGCCGTCCTCAGCCGCTCGTCACGCGCTGCGCCGACCGCTGCCAGTCGCCGTCGCCGTCCCTATCGCCGCCGTCACCAGGCGCGCGCCGACCGACTCGGCGCCGCGTCGCCGTTCCTGCCCGCCGTACAAACACCAGCAGCCACATCGCAGCCGCCCGCCCGTCTCCGTCCGCTCCGCGCCGTCCCGCATGCCGTGGCCGCACGACTCCTGCCGCCGCGCCGGAACCCGCGCAACCATCACTAAGGGGAACACAGAACATCCTGCCGCCACCCCTCCTGTGCGGTCTCACGAAGCCTGTCGCGGGGAGTTTCTGGCCTCCTATACGCGAGAAGAGTCCATCCAGCTTTGTGGACCCGCGAGTGATTGTAATAAAGGTGCAACCCGTTCACGACCGAAATCGCCGTCCTGCAGCCACGAAATTTGGGTCCACAAGAACACATTCCTTCTCTTGCGCCCACCCACTCATACATTCGCGTGACTACATA